TCTCTCTGTTGTGTCTGTCTCTCTCTGTTGTGTCTGTCTCTCTCTGTGTCTGTCTCTCTCTTTGCGTCTCTCTCTGTCTCTTTGTTGTCTATCTGTCTATCTAACTTGGCTGTTTATATTTTTGGTTGCCTATTTGTTTTATTTGTTTACTTGCCTCTCTCTTTGTTTACGTGTTATATTTTTGGTTGCCTATTTGTTTTATTTGTTTGCTTGCCTCTCTCTTTGTTTACGTGTTTATCTATTTGTCTCTTATTGGCCTTGTCTCTTTGTTTGTCTACTAAGTTTCTTGCGCTTATTTGTCTATTTGTTTATCTATTTGTCTGCTTGCTTGTTTGCTTGGCTGCCTATTTGCTTGCTTGTCTACCTCCTTGTTTGCTTGCCTGCTTGCCGATATATCTGCCTGTATTTGCCTGTCTATATATCTATCTGCCTGCCTATCTGTCTAGCTGCCTACCTGTCTATCTATCTGCTTGTCTATTTGTTTGCTTGCTTACTTGTCTGCCTGTCTATTCATTTGCCCGTCTGCCCGTCTGTCCATTTGCTTATCTACCTGTCTGCCTGCTGCCGCCTTGCTTGCCTGCTTGCCTGCTTGCTTGCTTGCCTGCCTATTTGACTGACTGCTTACACATCTATCTATCTGATAATACATATTTTAATATCAAATTGGCTTGCAGCCCGTTTTATCCGCTGCTGGAAGCAGCGGGTCCTCTCTAGTGTATGTATGTATATATACATATATAGTTTTTTAATTTTTTATAATGTAATATAACAGTGAAATCTAATTTAGTACTATCGAACAGAATAGAACAAAACATACTATGCTGTATACGATATGCTACAAAACTTTATGGTAGAATATACAACTCTGTACCATAGCATAATGGAGACTAATACTAGAAAAAATTAACGTAAACCAGGTAACCATAAGTAATTTTAGTAGTTTGTTGGTATATTGGCCATGTAAGGTCTGCATCATCTTGCTATAGTACTAATGATATAGCAATACTAGTCAGTTATAAGACTGAATTTGAAGTGTAGCATATTCTGCAGTATTTACAAAACTATAATTACTAATTATTGATGTAATAGTTCGTATAATCTCAAAATACATATCATATTTAGTTGATACCAGTGGAAGATAGAATACTACAACTATTACATGATAGATCTCATTAAATCTAATCTAACTCATGTCAATACGGGGCCCAATACGGCATGTTGCTTCCACCTGTACATTGCTTCGACGTAAAGACTTGGGCCTCCAGGCCCCCCGCCCCTCCGCCGCCCCCCAGAGCTCCCCGCAGCCTCCGCACCCCCCTGCACCCGACCCACCCACCCCCAGCATGTCAAAAAAACTACAAAGACACAAAAAACAAAACATCCACACACCCCCCACCCCCATTATTTGGTCTCTGCGTCGATGAAGGAAACCACGGTACATGGGGCGAAGGGACTGGATTTGGAATGCCACTGTCCGAATAACAACTTCACATTCCGTGGGTTCCAGAGCATTGCAGAATGATGCTTGGAGGTCTTCGTGCGTGCCAGCCTGTGATATCAAATTGGGACGCCACCTTGATGTACCTGCAAAGTGATCGTCAAACATACTGGGCAAACGGGACATCTACAATCTTCGCTGTGCATGGTCTTCGCTGTTCAAAGCATACGGGCTGACTTGACTGACCAGTGGCTTACGTCGACATCATTGCCATGCTCTACAGACATGTCTCGGTGGAGCGTGCTCTGAGCTGAGTTGTGAGTTGTGGAGTACAGCAACGTGTGCACCGACCGGGAATCAACGGTGGCAGCCAGCACTGGCAACATGACGATAACCACTGCAAACAGTCCCTGATAGCTCACGCATTTCAGTCCAACTCGATGACAATCTCAGCTTCATGCGTTTCTTGTACAATGGATTGGCCGAGTCCGACTATCCGAATTTGCAGACAAAACCAAAGCGATGCCAGGAGCCCTATCCCGCTAATGTTGTTGGAAAGTGACCTTCGGGACCGCTCTTTATCTCGAGAATGCCATTGCATGACATGAAGGTGTCCGGCACCGGTAGCGAGCGATGCTGATTTCGAACGACGACCGTTTGACCGCTTCAGCGTCAACTTGTCAACGGTCGGCCCCGCTCCCGACAAGGACATATTCGCTGTCCAACAACTGATCATCGAGCCAGCTGCAGCTAATGCCTAAAATCAAATTTCCAGCTCGTCTACGAAAAAACAAATAGGGTGTCGTCCGCAAACTCAACAACAATGTGCCAGTCTCTACATCTGAGTAGAGGCACGGCGATGCAATGAGCCCCCGGCATGCCGTGCATAGTAATCAAGTTGCAGACAATGCTGCAGTGGCGCTTGTGGCACAAAAAGGATAAGTCTAGTGTTGCCCAATGTCCTCTCGCAGCCACGCAAGCATCCAGAGTACCAAAGTATGCTGGAATTCAACCCGACAATCGGCGACAGAAGGAACGACCAAGCCAGAATCATCGAGGAAATAGCTTCCTTTAGGAAAGACGTAGGAACAACTTTGTCACTAGGATGTAGCCAAAATGACAAACTCATGCTTGCACACTCACCTCTGCATATTAAAGGGCTGACAGCTACCTGTTCGAGTAACTCTTTCGGTTCCACCTGCTTCATAAACGCATAGAGTATTACGATCATGATCGATGCTTTTGTTGTCTTTGCTAGAAACCAGCGCAGTAACCAAATCAGGCTTCACATCAACAGCTCGTAAGATGAAGGGCTGCATGCCGGTGTGCTTTAGCAAGTGCATCAGCCCTTTGTTTCACGCTCGCGAAAGCGGCTGAGTAGTGGCTGCCTCGCTGCTGTAGTGTGAGCGTTGACTTTCTGAAAGCATACTGTTCGTTTGGGCTGCTCCATACACCGGCGCAATGAATTAGCTTGTCAAGTGCTCCTAAACAACCAGTCAAACCCAGTAATAACATGGCAATGCTTACAAAACTCGCAGAGTCCGGCACACGGGTGCCATTTCCAGAGACCGTTTGTGGATCGGGAAGAAACTGTGAGCTCAGCTCGCCCATCACACCTGTAGAACAGCCACAGTCACACAGGCCGCGCACATGGAGAGAAGAGGAAGGTGGCTTTGTCAAAGAGAAGCAACAAGGCTGTCAAGGGAGGGTGCCCGTTGACAATCGGATCTGTTTTAGCCGTGCCCACGGAACCAAATGCTTCATTGAGCCCAGAAAGCCGAAACCGTTGTTGGACGCTGCGGCTTTTGAGAATCTTCGTTGGCTGTTGGATAACTCGCCTTTTGCCCAAGTCTAACGTGAACCCTAAAACAAGATCCGCACAGCAAGCAAATGCAGGTGCCCAATGTTGCCCGATATTACTCAAACCATGCCGTTGTCAAGCAACAATGCATGGCCCACCAAAGTGTAGTGCCGAAAACATGATTCAATGTATTTTTCATCTAGCCAGCTGCTAGCTGAAAACGTCTGGGTGTGGGCTTGCAGCGTCATGCGTCGGTTCTGTGCAACATGTGCGTCAAGACCTCTGACCGCACCGCGCTTGAGATGCTATATACCTCGGCACCATGGGGTTCTTACATCCGGAGCGATGGGACTATTCAACTAGGCTACTGGCACATAAGATTGCTGTCCGGTGCAGTTCCACCTCTACTTCATGCACATGAGCAGCTGTGCTGCTCAAACGATCCTAAACGCTTGGCCAGTTCAGAACACACAAGTTCAAGACCTTGCTTTGTATTTCAAGCCACGTTCAAAGTCATCAGATATCCATGCTCTCTGCATGCTGGTGTACTGTGACATGAAAAAAGGGGCGGTCCTCCCACGACTTTGCAGGTCTGTGGTGCTCATCCTCCAATCGCAGGCATCTAAGGAATCTAGGGAAAAACCCACTGCAACCGCACGAAATAAGTTCAGAGCATCGGAGTCTGCAACATCTACGACACTCTCCTTTGCCTGGCTTTCTCTTGCCATGTTGAGTTCTGACTGACAAACAGTAGTTTCAGGGCCGCGCGTCGGAGTGACTCTTTTGACGTTTGGGAGTTGGTTGCACGACCTGGTGCCGAGCAGGAACTGAGCTACCCAAGTCCAGATGCGAGCAGCCCTATATAGCCCTGTGATAGGCCTCGTGGAGGTCTGAAGACAAGCCCATGCGAGCTCAGCGGCTTGGCTCTTTAGCTCCAAATCAAAGCGACTACCTCCCCTTGTTCCTGTGCTTAGTACCCTCGGCATCATGTAAACGCCCTTACAGGAGCATCAAGGTCTACGGGATATGTCTCGAAGCGTACATTTCCATGCCATGCACCACCAGTTGGCGAAGCCTTCCAGCAGATAACGGTTGTCGTTGTGGTGTGGCAATGTGTCACCTCACTTGCAACCTGAAAAGCTTACCAAGCCGACTAGAGCGACTAGCGCCTACTCTGCAGTTCCGCACCGGAATTTGTGGGCCAGCACTGTCGCAGCCTGAAGCTTCCACACAACGTGGCGGAATGTGAGACTTACCTAGCTACGGCTACTGCTGCACTGCATCTGAATTCACCCTAGACTACTTGCTCTGTTCGAACGAACCGTTGAACTCTTCCTTGCACATGGATACACACGGGAGGCCCCTGGGGCCTTGATCACCATGCCGAGCAGATCTGTGAAATCCCAGCTGTACAAGACAATTCACACTCTGTGAGACTGGGTGCATGCTTCATGCTTCCTTTGGAAGCGCGCAGGCATTTCTTATTGCAGTTACATCGATGGCAATGGAATGACATGACTTTGCAATGGTAAAGTGCAACGCGGGTCCCAGAGACACTAAGCAGAGAAAAGCATCCTCAGTAGAAGCAAGACGATGCTGCCTCTGCGCAGCAGGCGACAGGGCGTCAGTGACGAAAGTGGAGGCTGGAGAAGCAAGCGGAGAAAAGCATCAAAGCAAACCTCCCGTCGTTGATGCAGCTGATGTTGTGGTGGGGCACCTTTCGAACATCTTCGGCACAGTTACAACGCTCCCACATTCGCTGTAGGACCGCGGCTTCACGGGACCTTCTCGAGCCTTTGTGCAAACTCGAATCTCGTCGAACTCATGCGTGACAGCAACAACACTCCCCTTCAACTTCCTTGACTGGATTGGTCAAAACTCTAAGTTCAACACATCCGAGAGCAGCTGACAGGCAGTTTCAGGTCCATATTGGTTCCGCATCCTGAGAGATGCAGGCGGCAGGAGCCTTCATTAACTGCAGGACCGATTCAGCCACTTTCATAGTCACATTGTTCTAGAGGTGTAGTGCACAATGCTAAATTCACTGTCATGGCTGATGTGGCACAGCTGATGTCCCATTTGCGTGCTGTCTCAAATAAGATCCCTCAACATGCGACGACGGAGTTGTAAGACTCTTGCACTTCGAAGACAGCAGCTTTCGCGAGCTCATCTTCGGAAAGTAAGGAGAGAGGAATTTCCTGTCATCCAAAGGCGGTTTCGGTCCAACACCGACTGGACGCTACTAGGTCTCCTCCATGTGAGCAACTTGAGCGAACTTGCCAAAGTGCATATCCTGACACAACCTGATGCACTCCAATGTATGGGCATGCATCTAGTCAGGAATCTAGTCAAAAACAAGTCCGCACAAGGCACTTGCTTGGATCACTCGGTACCTGGCGGGGATGTCTTCAGCTCCAGCATCCGGCGCAGTGACTGCCAGCGGTCAGGATTCAGGGTGGTCATTGCAGAAGCTGCTTCCCTTGCAGACGTTCTCTCTGCCGATTTCAGCTTGGGCTGCACATCCCAGTGCACCTCGAAGAGTGCAGGGGCTGGAAGTTCCGTGACCGTCTGATTCCTGCAGAGCATGACACCAACAGTCCCGGACAGACCCCACGCACAGGCCGACCGATGCATCGACGGACGAACAAACGAAAGGGCAAACGAACAATACGGACGCACGGACGACAGGACAGAATGGACGACGGGCTTCTCGGACGAGTCAGGAACGGACGGAGCGCCAGCACGGACAAATGCACCAGCATGGGCAAATTGACCAAACACACGAAGGTACCAGCACGCCTCCCGCAGGCGGCCCCAGCCCCCGAGACTCCAAGCCTCCGAGCTCCAAGTCGAACTCCAACACCTCGAACCGCTGAACTCCCAGCCACCGGCCCCATCCCCTGAACCCGAGCTCCACCGAAACTGAAACCCTGAGCGCGAAACCCCCTGGCCCACCCAGGCCCCCAAGTTTTCGTTTCTACAAAGCCGGACTATATTGACTATACGTCTGTTTGTGCTTCGTTGCTCATAGGCAATATGGTTTGAAGCGCTTTCATGCTCGCATTCTCTGTAGGCTTCGCTTGGACAGTCGAACAGATTCCAGCAGCTCTGTGGCAAGCAAGCATCGTGACGGCGTCAGCCCATCGTAACCGAGTTGTGGCAGAAATGCGTCCTTGCCAGGAAGAAATCCACGATGATGGATCCTTCAACCACTGTCATGACCTTGACGCGGTGTCTCTGCCTCACCCGAGCAAAATTCTACGAAGGTGCGAAGCAACGGAAGCGAGGCGACACGTGTTGAAAGAGTTACAAGTAAGAAGTTGGCGTTTCGTAGATGCCTTTCTGGATGCAAAGAGGATTCCCGTCAGTGTCCACGTATGTGCTCCTGAAGCTTACAGTGCTCTTGATAGCCAAACAAAGGAACAAAGTGCCCCACTGACGAACATGCTGATGGTGTCGGTTCTGGGAACCAGGCGGATCTTCGCTGAGAGGGGGGTTGCTGCAAAACAACGCCCTTGCAATGGCTTCTTCGAAGACCTGCCAGGCCCCCAGGCAAAGGACATCACCTCTGCTTGCAAGCAGATTTCCAACCTGAATGAAGGAAGTAGGAAGTCTGTCCACGGCAGAACCATAAACCTTCAACGAAGATTGCCACTCAAAATGACCTTTTGTGCTTCTTGAGGCCCCCCGCATTGCCGGAGACCTCCGCGAAGGGCCGTCGAATGACCATGCGCGAGCGCACCGTCCTTTCCTCAACAAGACTACACACACATGCGCTGCACTTGCTAGGACGAGTCCGTTGTGCCGTGGTTCACTTGGCACGAAACTCTAAGAAGAGCTCGCTCCCTTTCTGTTTCACCCGGTGTAACGTCCGCCACTGATCAGAAAGCCGCGAGTTTCAAGTCAGAAGCCGAAGACAGGGAAATGCAACCGTTGAAAGGATCGGAGGAGAGTGCGGAGCATCCCGGAAGTGTTCAAAGGATCAAAGCCGAAGGAGCGACTCTGATGTGCGCACACTGGCAAGGGACCCCTGCAAGAAGTGGAGCCAGCAAGTCACCGGGGCGAGGCAGTGAATCGGAAAGTGAGCCTTACCAAGCAGGGCAGCAGAACCAGCAACACTGCTGAGCTAGAAGTTTCGAAAGAAACGGTCGGAACGGAACGGGGACGAACGTGGAGAGAGCCCAGGCCAGTGGGGATGGCCTGGGCCTTGGCGATTGGCCTTGGCACGCAGACCGCAGCTTGAGGACTCCAGGACCGCCGCGAAGCCTTCGATAAAGTCGAAATGGCGAAGGACTGAATGACTGAACACACCCTCTTCGAGGATCGGGCACACAACGAAGTTGTCCATGACAGCGGAATGAGCAAACACATCTACTGTCGAAGTCACAGCTCGTCCGCAAAGTGCAGTACGACCAAAATTGCGAACCAGGCCCGGAACAAACAATAAGCTTGCAAGCAGATTGCCAGGCTCTAGGACCCTAGGACTCTAATGGCTCTAGCAGTTGAAATGGACGTGATGAAAACATTCACATCCCCAAGTAAATTTGCTCGTTTAGCATGACGGTCTGACCCAGGTTCCCAAAGTGGGGATTGCCAGTAAGAAGACATCAAGCTGTACAGTAGCTCTTGGCCATCCCTCCGAGTTTCGCACAATGCTGCTTGAAATGAAGTCGTCGCTCTGGGTGTTGTTTCCGGTGTCCTGTCCCTGCGGATGGAAGCATTGTCATCGCGAAGTCTCACCATGCAACTGAACATCTTGAATTCTGCTCAGGGGCCCAGTTGTCGTTGCAGCCCTGCCAGGTTCCCATGGAGAATCCAAGGAACTCGGCCTGCACGCTGCTCTTCTAGGAAGATGCTCAAGACTCAACACGGAGCGACACGGACGTGTCACGTGAACATCACAGTTTCAACATGCGGCGTTAGCACAAGCTGGATCTGCCTGTCCCGCGATTGACACAAAATTGCAGAAACAGTCCGGAACCGCAACACAAAGGCCCGGCCTGCGCTCGCTGCTCCAAAGATAGCTCGTCCCAGGTTAACTGAACAGGGCGATGCGGAGAGAAAGCATAGGGAAGAAAGCCTTGTGATGCCCTGTGCCTGCATGCTGACGGTGTTCATCATTCCACCTAACCACAGATTCTCGGTGTGCCCAAGAAGCTGCCTGGCCAGACTGCCAGGCGACTTCTCATACTTAAAGGCTCGACTGACAATTATTGGAGTGAACCATGTCTGCGGCACCAAGCACGCCGCTCAGCAACCTTGAAAACACATCAACACTCGGCAGTGCCTAAGGTATCTCATGCAACAATCTACCAGGGGGTAGATTCCAAGAAATGCTAAGTCCTTGGCAGTCAGGGCACTCCACTGGATGTCGCTGTATTTTCTCTTCAGGTAACTCGGTACAGCGAGCTACCGGTACAGCGAGCAACAGTGAAGGCTGTTCCTTTGAGTAGCAAGGCCATAGCGTTACCCAACTGTGATTCCACCACTGTCAGAAATGGAAGCCTCCTTAAAGCCTTGAGCTTTACAGGCTCGAGCAGGATCGGTGCCTTTTCGTGCCTGCATGTAGCTTGCAGATCTACCGGCATCTCTTTCATCGGATTGCCCAGACACTTCCAATTCCGCTGATGCAAGCAACCGGGACAATCGATTGCCAGGCTCTGTTGTGTGCAATTGGCTGGGTCCCCGGAGACACGGTAAAAATCCCGGCTCTCGATCGAAACAAGTTGATTGTAGAAGCGCCCCATAGTATCCCGGACTGCTGTTGCATGATCTGGAGCCATCCTAGGTCAATGGAACTTACTATACTTACTGCTAAATAGCTGTTCAGACTTGCATCTGAACAGGAATGTAGTAGTTGCTAGGTCGTTCAGGTTTTGACACCCGATGTCAGGCTACCAAACTTTATGCTGACTGTCTCTGACTTCTGCAACCGCGTACAAAAGCGCCTCGACCTGTGACCGCATTTTGGAAATACCAAACAGACAGCAGGAACATCGCCTGAAGCGCTCTTCACACTGAGCATCTGGACAGCCATCCTGCAATCCAGGATTGGCTGAAGAGGACAAACTTCGGTGAGCTCAATATTTTGCGACTGGCTCCGCTCAGGTACAGGCCCACGTGTCAGAAACATAGCCTGAGCGCAGGGGTGCTGGCTTGCTCTTTCCTTGTCTTCTCATGTGCGCAGAGGCCAACCTGCCAGTCTGACTGAAATCGTCTCGGCATCGGTGAGATCCACGTAGGCCTCTGCAAATGATGCGGATATTCACGAGGACGGGCACGCTACTCCAGCCTTCTTCAAGGTGGCGCCGTCGCCATTTGTCCATCGCTTCTGCGCAAAGCAATGAGGCACGTGTGAACACTCTTCGCTCTCAGGACACCGGTGCTAATGGAAGAAACCCTTACGGCCATCGCCCAGACTGCTCTAACAAAACAGCCCTCGGCAAATGACAAGGCGATTTAAGCAAGCAGAAGTTGCCGGAGTATCCTGCCTCATCATAACCGAGCTCCTTCAACCTGCACCAGCTTCTTATACTGCTTGTGCAAAGTATCCTGCCCTCGACAACAGACCACAAGAGCAATGCCTGTCTTGAAATGGCTGCTGCATTTCGCGCCAGGAGATGGTGCTCCACTTCGTCTCGTGTGTCAAGCACAAATGCCACGGGTATTGAACAAAGGGCTTCCAAAATCCGATCCTCCAGCAGCTCTAGGCGAGTTATGCACGGCCTCATGCTTCAATAGCTTCCCCGATTTGTTCTAGCACTGATCACATCTGAGACTCCGGCGCTGCCCTTTCACATCTTTCCCAGGTCTGCAGAACACAAGCTTGGATTTGGCGATGGAGCCGTGCTCACCACACGAACGTTGTGCGCAAACTTGACCTCCACGCTGTAGCCAAGGAAGGTGGCGGCTTCTTGCTGCCTGGGTTGTAGTTCGCTCCACAGCCTAGGTTTGGTCGAATCTGATTGCACATTGCCTCTGCACGGCAGCTGAGGATCCAAGCTGAGCATAGGATAGAGGAAAGTCCATTTGCACCCAGCGTGAGCTTGCCTAGAGCCACAGCTGTGTGGGAGTGCAAAAAGACACCTCAAGGAAATCGTTGGCAGCGGACCCATCCCAGCAGCTCCAGCGCTGAGCGTTTCGAGTCAGTCAGGTCAACCCAAGTCCGGGAATATAACCTCACGAGATATAGACATTCCACAAAAGTGCAGTGTCTGAAGCCGTCTGCATCTTGAGGCAGAGTCGAGGAATCGAACCATGCAAGAACCTGCGACGAGTAAGCTAGCACGCTCAAAACAAGAGACCAAGAAAGGCATCGATCCCAGGCCCTAGGCCTCAAGGCAAGGTGCATCGGGCTCCGGGATGCCGTCAGGCCACGAGCAAGATGGATTCTTGCACCTTTCATGTGAGCATTGCAGATTCGACCGGCGCAACGGCGATGTGAGCACAAGCAGAAGCATGCCAGTTGCACAAGTGCCAGGTCGTGATGCTGTATGCCAGCGTACGAACCGCATCTTGCTGGGCCTAATGGGCTCGAGGGATTCTGCTTTGAAGGCTACTGCACGACTGCACGGTCCTGCCTCTGTCAGGTCCTGGTAGCAAGAACTCTCTGTGACAGGCCTGGTGACATGGCGTTCTCAGGAACGTGGGAGTCCAGAAGTCGGGACCGTCTCAGTGCTGCACACGACTGTGGTCGACGTGGTGGTGGGCATCGGGCTCCTTTTGAGGATTCAGCTCAGACCGGCTCTGATTGCTTCTCTGGCCACCGCCCTGTCCCCATCTGCAGTCGTCTCAGCTGTGAACCTGATTGTCACAGCACGGCCACTTCACATCGCAGTTCACACACCTCACCATGCCTGCATCCGAATCTGGCAGCACCACCTCAGCGTCGATCCACTCGTCAGGCTGAAAGTCGTCGAGCCTTTCAGGTGAGTCGTGCAGCACCAGAAAAATCCATGATCACAGAGCGGCAATAGAGGGCTGCGGACAATCTCACTCCCATGACTACGACAACCGGTAAGTCAGGAAACCAACGCTGCATGACTGCATGCAAACAAGAAAAAACCAAAGCCGAGCTTCACTGCCTCTGAGGTTTTCCTCTTGACCGTCAAGCGTTCGCTGCCCTGCCCCGCATCTCCATATTTTTTGCAAATTTTTTACAGCAGCAGCCATCGAGTGAAGGGTTATGTGCAGGTGAAGCCTGCGTGCGACCTTTTTCACATTGCGCACCATTTATCGTGCCCAAAGCCCTGAAGAGTACTAGTTGCAAAACGTCGGCACCGAGTAGTTTCATGGGCGCGTGAAAAGTCAGCTGCATTCGTTGGCATCGGTCATCCTACCGAGTTAGCTGTGCGTGGCAGACTGTTGGGTGTTCACCATGACAAATCGTGGCAGAGAAGGTGACAGCCGTGTGGGGGCGAGCTCTTTGGGTGCAGGGGCACCAAAAGGGTTATATACTTTCTTCAGCCAGCGATCAAGCGTTCCAGAATGTGTCTGCGGCATTTATGCCGGGAGCTGGGCAGCCAATGCAGCGACCCACCTCTTTCCCCAATGCTCATCATCGCGAGGGATCTGCTTGCACCGCAGCGCCTAGACCGAGGCGGGAGGCAGAGCCCAATCAATCAGTCGAGCAATTTCTGATGGAGCAGAATAAGTTGCTTCTCGCACAGGTTCAGTTGCTACAACAGCAAGCCCAACAACCGCAGAACGATAGACATTCACAGCAGCAAGTTGGGCAAGAAGTAAGTTGCTTCAGTCTCCGGAAAAGATTCTGCATGGTGTGGGCCCGGGCCTGAAGGATGTTTTCGAAGGCTTCGCCAAGGAAATGAAACATCTTTTGTCTGCTTGGGAAACTCAGAAGGCTTTGCCTTGCAAGTGCGCGAGAATGCTTGATCGCGGCAGCATGTTTTTTAATTTCTAGGCGGAGGCTGAGTACAAATGGCAATGGACGAAGCTTCACATTGCACATGCTGATCGGCATCTTCAGAAGAATTTGTTGGTGAGCAGTTTGATACTCGTTCGGCTTGGGAGTCGATGAGACAGCGACCTGCGAAGGAATGTTTTGCATTTATCTGTGAGCATCAAGACCAAGTCGTGCGGTTGTATGATCGGCAGGTTTCTGTCGGGGAGCCGAAAAGTAGGCTGCTGGATAACGCGGCAGCTTGGGTCGCAGAGCACGGTTACAACGACGAGGCCGTTGACAATGCGATGAAGGCGAAGGCTAAACAGTTTGTTGAGAGTACGATCCGAGCAGAGAGGCCCAAGCTACAAACCAGGATGAACAAGGACAAGGAAAATTACAAGAAGCGCCAGCAGGCCTTCATTGAGGCTGAGAGCAAATGGGAATCCATGGATGTGAAGGATGTGCTTTCGCCTTCATTGCTCCAGTTAGCACAGGCGAAGACAGCACGTAACAAGCCAAGTCGTATTCAAGATGGCGGAGCCCTTGCTTTCCTTGTCAAAGATAATGCCGAGCTTTGCCGTCAGCACAACATCAAGTTTGAGGCAAGTCAAGCTCCAAATACCCCCAAAAGGCGTACCAAACGAAGGGTTTCTTCGAGAGACCTTTCTTCCTCGGCGCATAAAGAGAGGCCGTCTTCGATCCTTCGGGCTTCAAGGTCGGCCAGATATCCAAGAAAGCTTCAGCAAAGAGCAGAGGCAACAGCAAGTCGCCCGGTAAGAAGGTGCGTTTCAATCCAAGGGGAAGGGCGAAGACAAAGGCAAAAGCAAAGGAAAGAAGAGATTATAGCACGAAGGAGGCGGTTGTTTTGGTTGATGCGGACAAGACTGACATTGGCTGGAATCGGTGTGTGGTTGTGCAAACCCTACGTGGGGTTTCAAGCGCTTGCTTCGAAGACTCACCTTCAAAGGTGTGCATAATTTGATACCTCCTTGTGTGCTTGATGAAATGCTTTATGTGCTTCTGCATGTGGGCAATGCAAGTAAGTTCGTTCCTGCAGCCAAGGGTGTGACAGCCAAATCGTTAGCTGCTGGGTTGCAGCAGCTCAGGCGCAGCCTTCTGGTGTCCAAAACCTTCATGCACATGGAGGCGGCAATCACTTCGACAGGGGGGAGCCACCTGGCGATCAAAAAGTGTATGCCTATGCTTGTATAAGGTTGTTGCTGACTTTTACCCCAAAACCCCAAAGCAGAGTTTCGGAAATATGTGTTGACTGGATCGTCTAGCCAGAGGCTGGCTTAAGAAACATGCGGAAGTATTGAATATTTACTGTGGAAAAGGACTTGGAGATGCCTTGGTTTTGAGCAGTTGGGTTCAAGATCAAGTGCGGTGGCAATCCAGGGTTATGTGCAGTTTAGATGGGTGACTGCAAGCTGCAAGCCGATAAAATGGTGCTGTTTCTTCGCTCTTCAGGCTGTGTTCCTCACAAAGAGATCCAGGTCTTGCTTAGCAAGCTCAATTGCAATCCTGCTGGTGTTTTTCGAATTCTGGCCAAGATCCACAAGCAACCAGTGGCGTCCCGTCCAGTTTGCAATCTGTGTCATGTTTGGTTTACATCTTTCCTGACGTTTTTGGTGGAGCATTTTGGTCCTCTCACCCGTACTCTTCATTCAGTGATTACATCCATAGATCAGTTGATTGAGCAGTTCATTGCCTTGACCTGCGCTGATGGAATGCAGTAGGTCACTCTGGACATTGTGGATTTGTATCCGTCAGTCAGTCGCCAGCATTTGGAGGGACCGCCCCGGTTGGTTCGCAGAACTGGTGAAGCTCTGAAGCTCCTGACGATTCGAGCTTCGCTGACGCGGAGCTTCACTGACACTCTGAAGCTCCTGACGACTCGAGCTTCCGAGCTTCACTGACGCGTTGAAGCTCCTGACGACTCGAGCTTCGGAGCTTCGCTGACACTCTGAAGCTCCTGACGACTCGAGCTTCGGAGCTTCGCTGACGCTGAAGCTCCTGACGACTCGAGCTTTGGAGCTTGGCTGGCGCTCTGAAGCACCTGACGACTCGAGGTTCAGAGCTTCACTGACGCTCTGAAGCTCCTGGCGACTCGAGCTTCGGAGCTTCGCTGACGCTGAAGCTCCTGACGACTCGAGCTCTGGAGCTTGGCTGGCGCTTTGAAGCTCCTGACGACTCGAGCTTCAGAGTTTCACTGACGCGAGCTTCATTGACGCTCTGAAGCTCCTGACGACTCGAGCTTCGGAGCTTCGGAGCTTCAGAACGAAAATTCCTGAACCACCCCTGGCGGACCATCAACATTTGTTTGCAAAGTCAGGTCCGATTCTTCGCCAGAAAGTGCACTCTTACAGCTGTTGTACTTTCATCTTGCGGATTCTGGAGCTGGTCCTTGATGCTGCAGCTGTTACCTGGAAAAGAGAGTTCTTCGAATCTCAAGACGACGTTCCCACGGGCTTAGCGGTTGCTAGCATTGTTGCATATCTGCATTTATGGCATTTTCTTGGAAGAGCGTTGTGGTACCCAGCTGGATACATCGACGATCTGCTGTTGCTTTGGGCGGGTGTTCCGGATGCTTTGTTGGACTATGCTAACAGTTGGCATGACTCTCTATGTTTTGACTTGGGCGGGAGCGGTACAGTCAGCTTCCTTGATGTCACTCTCAGTATTTTGCCGGACCGGCGAGTTCAATAATCGTTGTACCGCAAACCGCGTAACCTGTATCTTTATGTGCCAGCGAACAGTTGCCACCGAGTGAGCAGCTTCTCGTTGCAAGTAGGAGGCTTTTTGCGATGCATTAGAAGTAACAGGCTGGCTTTTGACGTTGAAAGAAGTCTCAGCTTCTTCAAGCAGCAGCTGATTGCGCGAGGTTGTTGCAGCAAAGAAATTGACGATCTGATTGCTCGGTTCAGGCTGCGAGAACGAGCATAACTTCTTTGCACAGCAAAACCAAAGTCAAGCAGGCATTCTTGAAAATGCTTTTCGCGCAAGAGCTGAACATTCGCTGGCTCAATGCTAAGCTGCGGAAGTTTGGAGCTCTGTTGCAAGCAGCGTTGCCTGACTTCAGGCTGGGGATCTGTTGGACTGTTAATGCCAATTTGTTCCGAAGGCGCTATAAAGCGATGTGCAGGTGAAGCCTGCGTGTGACCTTTTTCACATTGCGCAGCATTTTATCGTGCCCAAAGCCCTGAAAACGGAGTACTAGCTACAAAATGGCAGCACCGAGTAATTTCATGGGCACGTGAAAAGTCAGCTGCATTCGTGGGCGTCGGTTTGAACATCCTACCGAATTAGTTGCGCCCCGCATCTCCGTCGGTCCATCGGCTAGAAGGCCCGGCCCGGTTGACTGAAACGAAACGGATCCTGTGCGCCGCTGACATTTCCCCCTTCGCTTCGACGGGTCGCAAGCGCGTCCCGTCGTTCTCCGGCTCCATTCTACGATTCGCTTCCTCCTAGAGGTGATTGTTGCGATACCCGTGCCCTGTGCCCGCCTGTGCCCCTGTGCCTCGCTTGCTCTCTGGTGTTCCTTGGTGCCTGTACTGCCATTGAGTCCCACCTTCTTGGTCTCCTTCCTCTCTCCCGGCCTTCTTTCTCTTCTCGCTGAATAGGTTGGGCACTCAGCTTTCAGACCTTCATTCGGTCCGACATCTATGTTGAGTATGGTTGTACTTCTCGAAGCTTGAAATGTCGTTGCACATATCAGTTGAGACACAATTTGATGTGCCCGGGACTGCCACAGATCATGCCTTCGTGACGGGCCAGGATGCCATTGAGCTGTGGCATCGTGGCAAGGTTGCTCTGGCTCATGTGGAATGCATTTTGCCCACTTGCCCGGGACAAGCTCTCAAGTTTCGAATTACTTAGACTTGTTGCGGCCTTGGATGAGTTGCGCTTGGGGCTTCCACCTTCGGCTGGAGGCGGGCAAGAAGTGAGCCCCGCAACCTGCAGGGTTTTCATGCGCCCATTGTCTCCGACTGTTCTTTAATCCGTGAGTCTATAAGCTACGCCCCGCATTCATCTACTGTGTCTTGTCCAACCCATCCGGCGGACAGAGCACAAGCTCACAAAACGAAGAGGCCGGACAGCAAACCCTTCCTTCTTCCCGGCTATCTTCACAGAACGTGACTAACCTCTGTTCTGCCCTGCCACGGCACCTCGCTCTGATTTTCAAGTGCACTGAACCCTCTTGGAAAAGTCTGCTAAGGGTGGACGGATGAGCTCAAGACCTGCCTCCTTCCGAAAGTTGTCGTTACGGGCATGACCTGATGTCCGCTGCCACATTGCAAATTCCATCAGCACCGGAAACCCCTTCGCGTCAAGTTGATTCGTGACTTCTCGACGCCATAAGGGACAAGCACTGGAGGTCGCAATGGGGTGTGCCGCATCCCACATCTCTCGCCTGAGACATGCAACGAAGGGGCCATTCGGTCCACAAGCAGCCCATGTCGGAGCGCCAGGCGTCCACCCCAAAGTAGACCACGAGGCCCGCTCTTGAAAGCTGAGGAACTCCTGACACGAAGACAAGCCACGACAAGCACATCAAGCATTTGCGTGCACGCCTTATGTAGACCTGCTGAGTTGTTTGGTCCCCTTGATTGATGGTCGGATCTGCAAGACAGTTACAATTGCTGTCTGCATCGGCGGGAGCTTGCTGAACTTGCCCAAGCTGGAAACCACTGTTTTCTCAGCTGCTGCGAGCACTAGGCACGGCAGCAGGCAGCATCAAGATTCCTGCTGGCTCTAATTCCGTGTCTTGCAACATGTGACAAGGTCGAGTCTCGTACAGGTAGGACGGCAAAGCAATAACTATGCAACAGTGCACAGCATGGCATCGGGACAATCCTTGTTATTCATCATCCGTCCGCCAGCAACAGACGAGGCTGACTTGAGAGACGGGGAAGGTTCAGACTCGACAAGCGCAGCGGTGTAAGAGTGGCGTAAGGGAAGCGAGAAGAAAAGCTGGTCTTCTGAGGCAAACTCAAACATGAAGACGGCTGAAGTCTTCAGAATCCCAATGCGAGGGTTGCAGCAGAGGCAGAGGAAGCAGGCGAGATGAGCCGGAACGGCAAAGGACAATTGCGATCTGCTAGCTGCTCTTAAAGAAAGTGCAAACGAATGTTGACATCTCCAGACACAGGATTCCCGACGCCATCTCCCTGCCAGCTGGGCGCACCCATGGCATCTGAGACCATCTCGATGCGTCATCGCAAGTCGCATCCTGCAGCACGGGACGACCCATCGCTGAAGGTGACAGCGCAACGACGTCAGTAAGCCGAGCTGGGCCTGAAGCAAGCGCTCCCTCTGCGCAGCCTTGGGCATGCTCTGTCTCAGACTGCTCGGAAGCTGCAAACGCCTCCAGCCCGCCCTGCAATGCTGGGAAGCGAGCAGCCAGGATGCTGCAAATGAACAGAGCCTTGACTGGGCCTGCGAAATACCGAGTACATCTAGAACCTAGCAGATGCCGCAGGGAGATTCTGCCCTACGCAGGCAAGCATCTTGTAAACATGCGTGATGCGTTGTGTGGCCGCCTTTCAGCGAGAAGGCCATGCGCGGCTCGCGTTGCTACAAGCCTGGTGCTTGTCTGCATGTACGAAAAAGATGCCTGGTAGCGTCTTTGCATGCTACAACTAAATGATTAACCATCCTCAAACAGAACCTTTGTCAGACTCTGAACTCAGTCGTGCAATGGTCAAGAAGCTGAGCATCTATTGGTCTGCGGTCTGAGAAGAATCATGAGCACGGTAGGCGTGCAGGCATAAGAAGCTAGCAGGCTGGACAACACGGTCCTTTTCTGTTGGGTACACAGCCCAACTCTGGAGTCAGAGAAACTTGTACCAAATGGTGAAGAAGCAGCAAGACCTGAGAAGCTCAGCAAAACAGCTGCACGTGAGACTCTCGCAATGCACTCAGGCTTCTGCGCGACAGTTAACGACAGCACTATGCGCTCCTGCATCTGTCAGCAAGGCTGATGGCAACGCGGCAACAAGTCCATGCATCACAATCAGGGCATGAGTCCTTGTTTTTCCTGTCCGAAATCTTGTCTATGAGCGTGTTGATTCCCGGGAACATGGAGCTCAATGTTCCAACTCTGGCACCAACACTGTCCAAGACCTTAGTGGTCCAATGACACACAGGCATGACCGAACCAATCCCAAAATGATTGCGGGCGCCGATGTTGTTGTTGGACTGGTCAGGTCGACAAACGGTTTTCGAATTTCGTGTAATGATGGCGCAAGTACGTGGTCGCGGGCATAGCAGGAAGTTCAACTGAAATTTGGTCTTGTGACTATGGTATCTCTGTGGCTCGACCGATGCGCCTAGCAATAAGATAGCTGTGCTGGCTTAGTGTTGTTGAAACAGTTAAGGAGTCCCGGGCGCGCAGCAAAAACCGCAAAAGCTCTAAACAGCCGAGTAAATGTTCGGCCGGCCGACGTGTAAAGGGGTAAAAGAATAAAATTGTACAAACAAGCCAACCGCCCTGCATTTCCAGTGTCACGGAAAAGAATGGAACAACTAAGATAATGCAAAACTGTATGATACACTACCACAGCGGTCCGTAAAACATGCGAACATTGTAACACAGTGGTAAAAACAGCAAAAACATGCAACAATGTGAAAAAAAAACAGACCAGACGGCGGAGCGAACAAACTAAACCTGTAGCAACTGCGAAACACAAAAGTGTAAAAACAGGCCACCTTGCCAAAAAGGTAAAAGTGTAAAACAAGCGAAAAAACAAAAAGTGTCATAACGGGCCACCGAGCAAACTCAAATCATCAGAACCGGCCTGCGAGCGAGCACGACAAAATGTGAAAAATAACTAAACCTTAACAGAATAGATGTTGTAACTTCACTCCATCGACGGACCGAAAGCCGAACAGGGTAGACAATTAAACGAAGACCCTTCACTCAAGCTTTACGCTTTTACGAGCTGGGCTGGCCCATGCTGGAGAACGGAGCCGAAAAGTTTAGATTGCGAAAAACTGATTTTACCTTTTACGCTCTTACGCTCACCCAACCTGCAGGAACCCGCTAAGCAGAACAACGCCGGCAAGCCAGCTTAGATGCTAGTAGCACGTGGATGGTTTGAGGGATTCGGCATGAATCGGCGGCTTGGACATAGTGGCGCAGAGCATGCTCCTGCAAATTTTCCAATGCCTTCCATTTCGGTTTCGCTCGGAATCATACGTATCAACAGCTCAGTTTGGGGAGGGGAATCGGGAGCGTAATTCCCAGGTCGCAGGGAAGTTTCAAGTTTGGTTGGGAAGGCTTCGTCAACCAAAGCTTGTCAAGAGCATACTCATTAAGGGAAGGTTCGTCAATGAACAGTACGCACGAATCTGAACTCAGTAGTCAGGGAAGATCGTCGAGGGGACGAGCTCGTAGAAGGAGAAGCCGTCAAAGAGCAGAGTTCGTCAGCAAGCCGTCTCTCTTTCTCAACAACCATGTCCGAAAAAATAACTTTCTCAGACTAAAAATGTAAGGCCAAAATATTTAAAAGTTCTCCCATTGGCTATCTAAGCAGAAGGGCTATTCGTTCGATATGGCCATAGGGCCTAGGGTATGGGTCCATCAGATAAGTTTCTCAATGGAAGCTTCGCGAATGTGAGGTCCGTAAACAGAAAGTTCGTGAATGGAAGGTCGGAAGGTTCGTCAACGGATCTACGGAAGGTTCGTCAACAAAAGTCTCGTCAGCGGAAGATTCGTAATGATTCGTCAACGAGATTTCCGAAGTTTCTCCACCGAACAGTTTGTCAAGGGAAGCCTCGTCAACGAAAGTTTCTCAACAAGAGCGCATCACAAGAAGTTCATCGTCAAGGAAGGCTTCCCAACCAAAGTTTCGCAAGGTTCTTCAACGGAAGGTTCATCAAGGGGTGGTTCGGCGATGGAAGGTCCACAGTGAAACGTCAACGGAAAAGCTCGCCAGCGGAAGGCTCGTCAACGTCAGAAGATATGCGCCGGCCGGAATGGATGGCCGATGCTTCACCGCCCGAAGTTCGCCGATTCGGCAGTCGTTCATCAATGTTGCCGAAATTTTACCGGCGAGCCAGTTTCCCTAACATTAGAAAGACCCGCTAGCTCAGAGGCTTCCGAAAGGCGGGAATTGGTTGTAACCGTGGCGTCAAAGTCCGGAGTCTGTGAGACAGAACTCGGACCGGCCGCTGCAAAAAAACAGAACGAGGGTGAAACGGCAGAAGACGACGGACAACGGACCTGAGTCACAGGTGCACTTCAAACGGAAGTGTGGTGCTTAAGTACAGAAGCATGGACGGACCGTGCACAAGCACCTGTGCCAGGGGGAGCCAGGGGAAGGCGGCGGGCAAGTCGAAATGCACCCGACCGTTGCGAGCCCGTGGCTGCAGGCGATCGGTATCACACATCCGATTAAACTCGGTACCGCTCGGTCGGACTAGTCCGTTTCCGTAACATTAGAAAGACCCGCTAACTTAGATCCTTTTGAAAGGCGGACATTTGTGTTGACCGTTGCATCAAAGTCGGAGTCTGTGAGACAGAATTCGGCGAGATGGAGGACCGGTCGCGAACCAGATCCTTTTGTGGCGGTCGGACCAAAGATGATCGAGCCGCAATGCTTGACCCGACAGGGGACCCCCCCCAAAAGACACTCAAGCAACGGCGCCAGAAGCCAAAAAGCCCCTGAAATGGTCGGCGGACGGGAACAACTGGAGTTGTCGTGGTCCGGACAGCAAAGACCAATCCACCTCAAAGGCCTGCGAAGGTGAGAAGTCCAGGTCGGACAGATTGGCATCGCGACTAAGCGCGTCCGCAACATCATTGGAAATGCCCGGAACATGATCTATATGGACGGAAATGCGGAGCCGTTCCTGGATAACGAAGAAGGCCGGGAGCACGGTACACAGCCCTGAGCCATGCTAAGGCCCTTCCATGAGGCAGATTCGGAAGCAGAGTTATCGGAGCGGAAGACTCCGTGGACCGGCAAGCGGCAAGTGCCCCGCTCCAAGAACCTAGCGAAGCATCAGAAGAGGGCGCCCTGGGCAGCAAGCTCCCATGTGGCTATGTACGACTGTAAGGAAGCATCTGAGCACGAGAGAAGGTGTTCTGGAAGAGTAGTTGACGGAAGTCCTGAAGGCGGACAAGACAACCCATGCCCACGGACTCGGAATCAGCGCACGCGTCTGCGAACGCCGTGCACTCGAATTTGGGAGACAGCATCAATGACCGCAGATCGGAACCGGAAGTGAGACATCGCGAGATGAATCGGAAAGTCTGCAGGAGGCCCGCGAAAAAAACAAGACTGAACCCAGATGCGACGGGACTCGGCCATCACCCGAAGCATGTCTGCTTTAGAGGAGACGGCGGTCTGTCCAACTCACAGAAGACGAGACCCGGGCGGAAGAGCGGCAGCTTCAACGGA